ATTATTAAAAGGAGTAAGTAAACATTGTAACCAAAAAAGAAAACTAGAATAATACAATAACAAGGACACACAATCACTGCATAAATAGTATATCTAGCAATTGCTACATGTGCAATTTATAAGCTTATCACTATAACGCCTGCTTTAATATACACAAGTATGATGATAACAAATTTAACGTATTTAAATTAAATACATTATAATCAATAAATTCAGTATATGCATGATACATAGTGACACACACCATATTGCAATCTACATAGTACAGTATAGCACAATAATGAAATGCTAATTACTATTGTATCAATTATTATGTGCCTACTTTCGAATGGTAAGTTTGATGTGTCATCATTCCTTGCTACCATAGATATTTGACTAACATTAATGGATGCTTCACAAGTATACAGACCAGCATCAGAAGTATTGAGAGAAGAGAATCTCAAATAAAGAGAACTCATTGCATTAGATACAGTCATAAGAACTGGAGGTACACTAATAACATTGTTAACTGATCTCTTAGTCCATGTAATCACTGGTGAGACTATGAGTCTATCAACAACTGTCACTGTACAATTTAACATGTATTCTTCACCAGGTTCAGCAATACCCATAGTTACTATCTCTACTACTGGCCCTGGAGTAGCTGAAAAAAAGACAAACAGTAATTACCAATAAGGTGATATTATTATGTAGGACTTGAATAGGATCACAGAATTGCTTCAGATTATATAGTAGTAACACCTTAAAACAGCCTTTAACCAACAAAATGGCAATAATCAATCCAATAATAATCACCCTGCACAGCTCGAAGAACAATACAATAGCACCTATATCAAGCTAATGAAAGCTTTTTGGTACCATTACACAAAAGTGACTAGTATTTACAGCATATATGCAGTCTACTTACCAAAAACTGTAATAAAAGTATTAGCACTAGTTGTTGTATTCCTGAGATATGTGTAGCTATTAGGAGCAGTCACTTCAACATTACAAGTATACATTCCACTATCATCAGCATTATCCAATGGATAGAACATTAATGTTGCATTATAATGTAATGTATCAATCATATTGAGATCCACAGTAATAGTAGCATCAGATGAACCCATAGGAACATTAGTACCATCACGTGTCCATAGATTAGTTACACTTACTGGTATAGTAACTAATGGATCTAACATTATGTCACATTTAATGAAGAAAGGTGTTCCTGCATATAATATATTATTACGCTCCTTTGATATAGTAACAATCATTGGTGGAACTATGAGAATATAATAAATAATTAGAAGAATATGTATCAGACTTTTATAGTAAGAATAAATGTCTTTTTGAAAATTAACTCACTAGCAGCTCTACATATTGTACAGAATAATGTTAACTTACAGTCAACAATCAAATTAAAGGCATCACTATCCTCTTGATAATCATAAGTAGCAGTGCTAGGATCATTGGTATCATTAGAACCAGTTACATTAAACTCAGCCATACATGTATACATTCCAGCATCTTCAAACCTCACTGGATTCAGTATTAGAGTATAGTTAGTAACTGAACTAGTATCATCTGTTGTGATACTGTATGGTCTATTTAAGTTAGAGAGCATTTCCATATCTGTATCATTCATTTTGATGAAAGTAACCATTGGTGTTACTACTAATCTCTCAACTGTTGTTAGGGTACATGTTATAGTTAGACTCAGACCAACTTCAACTGAACCAACTGATGAGAAATTTACTGTCAATGGAGGAAGACCTAAAAGAATATAAAGTAAAAGAGTAAAATTAGAGAAGAGATTGAGAGTAAGATAAGAGATATTGTATTTTTGTAAATTACTTTCAACAGTAACATCAAGGGTAGTATCAGTAGGTTGACTTGATGCTATTAATGAGTTACCAGAATTGATGGTCATTTGACAGGTATATGTTCCTCCATCATTATTAAGACCAGTATCAATAGGTAGAAACAATAGCATGCTTACAAGACTGTTACCAGTTGGAGGTATCACTTGACGTCTTGCTTCATTAGTTGCTATTACATTACCACTAGGATCAGTCCATACTACACTAGCAGTTACTGGTGTATTCACGATTGTAGTGTTTACTGTAGCTGTACAGGTTAGGAAGTAACCTGTACTCTCATATATTGGACCAGTTGGAGGATCAGCAACTATTGATACACTGGGAGGAGGTACTGTAAAAGAATATTATTATTTCAAATAATAATAATTAAAACTAACCTTGAACAGTTAAATCTCTGTTTGTTCGATCTACAATACCAAAAACAGCAATTGTTGCTTGACAGTAATATTGTCTAGCATCAGTTGTCTTCACTGGATCAAGTGTAAGTACACTGGTGAATATATTTCTATCTCTATCAACAGGTACTAGTGTAACATCATTGTTTTCACTAGTCACATCTTGAGATGCTTCTAAATCATAAGTCCATCTGACACTAGTAAGATTCTCAACAAAATTAGGAGGTGCAACTATGACACAAGATAAATTGAATACATCACCAGCAACAGGAACAAAAGGAATGTTGATACTAATATCAACATGATTGATGTCAAACCCTATCAAAATATAATGGCAAATGAGATAAAATATAAATAAATTCACTTACTTGCTACAGTTAATGTAACTGCACTGCTATTATCATTCCCTGCTATTATGATAGGAGTATTAGGAGTCACACTAACTGAACAATTATAACTAGCACCATTATCAAGCTCATCTCTTAAACTATTAATATGTAATACTCCAGTGTACTGATTATTAGTCATAACTGGAGGACTAATAGTAAAATCACTTCCATTGGTCAGTACAGTGTTATTTCTCCTCCAACTCATAGTAACACTAACACTAGTATCAATATATTGACTGATGTCAGCTATACAAATAATATCAAGAAACTGTCCTTCTGCTAGTTCTCCATCTACTAAATGTCCAGTAGCATCATACTCAACAATAACTGAAGGATCTGGTACTATGGAAATCAATAAATAAAACATTCATAAGTTACATGTTAATTGTAATGAAAATATAATACTGACCAGATGTTGGACAAGGAGTAAATGAACTAAACTCTTGACATGATACATGAAGTACCAATGATAAAAGAAACAGCAAGGGCATCATGTTTAGTGATAAAAAAAGAAAAATTGTAGCTCTATAAAAGTATATTGTAAATGTAAAACAATAACATTTATTAGCAATATGTCAACATAGATGCATTATCACTGCTTCTTAACATAACTGACATGAGATAATGAATATTAACACAAACTGATAAAGCAATTGTGCAGACTAATGTTCATTGCAGTGCTATACTTTTTAAATTCATATGTATTTTTATAAGTAGAGTTAGATTACATCATGCTATATAGCTAAATGAATGTACATATGGGCGGTGTGGTTGCATGAGTACACTACGACATAACTTCAAGCCCTTAGTTTGATCTTCTGTTGTGCTCTACGATTTATTGGTATAATGGGCAGTATAATAAATGTAGCTTAGAATTTATAGTCATGTCAACACTTTTTCTTGCCTTAATTAATAGTGCTACATAGACTTGAAGTGTGTGTGTTACACATATAAGGTAAAGAAAAACTGTGGTCTGTAAATATGTCAACATTCTTCCATTATCAGTGTATCACAGCATAACTGAGATAAGATGTACATTGTATAAGGGAAATAGAACCTAAATAGAACATTAAACTTCAGATGTAAAATTTTTATACTTCAGTGAAACCTACTTTGCAGTAATTTACAAGAATGCAGTTACGTAGCTCAAAGGCAGAGCTCAAGCAAACATGCACACAGATAAAGTGACACTTTAACTTTGCTCCACTCCTACGCATGTTGACATTGGGAACAAATACAACAACACTACATTAACCATTTTAAAAATCAACACAATCTTCAGTAATTACAAACTTATGCTTAGACACTCTCACCCACCTTCTATCAGTGTGGAGTATAATGCAGCAAAACATACAAAATTTTTAGGAAACAATAAAAACAAGAACAGTGATAAACAGGACATTATTAACTTAAAAAGTTTATAAAAGCATTAATTTAATTTATTCACTGGTCACATTATATCTCACTATGCAGTAGTAGGTCTATACTATTATAATTAGAATACTATGAACCACCAGACTCTCCACCTGATTCTGTATCATCATCACCTCCATTAGTAGGACCATCAGTATTGTACACATGTCAAACCGTTTCTTCATGCATGCACTGGATGACTTAGGGCCACCAGATCTACATATGTCAACAATGAGGAAAGAACAATATTACCAAGCGCTAGCGCTTGGTATGTAGGGTTGAGTTGGACGATCGCGCCCCCAAAATGGCTGCCATCCCAGAAGCATTGAGCCCATTTAATATCTTTA